AAGAACACCCCAGCGAGCAGAAGGGTGCGCCCCGAAGCCACCCGGGGGGGAGGGGAGGGGGGTGCAGATGATAGTTCCAAGCCGTGATCCGCGAGCAGTATGGTTCAGCAAACGCGGTTACTGCTGCTGCAGCTGTGTGGTCCAGCTGAACAATATTAGTATTCGTTACCCTGGATTGGCATCGTTGCCATGGATATGGAATCCTCTAACCTGTGGGAACTATCTGGGGCACCCCCCTCCCCTCCCCCCCAGGTGGCAACGAGGCGAACCCTTCAGCTCGCTGGGGCGTTCTCGGGCTTCGTTACGAGCTACCTCCTCGACTTGGCAAGGGGAAAAGTGAAGGAGAACGAGGTGAGAACTCAGCGAAACAAGAAGTTGCTTCAAATAGACGTTGCCCGAAACGATCGGTTCTCCTTTAGAACCAGTGAGTGCTCCACAGAACTATTTTTTCCTTTAGAACTAGGCCTGTTTTTCGTAGTATGGTCTTCACCTCTCAACGCAAGTCCCCTATGTATTTGAACGCCCGTCTCCCCCGTATTTTTTGTTTGTTTTTGCGGCTGGTTGACACAAAGAGGGGTTTCGCGATTTGAATTGCCTCCCCCCTCCCGTTAGTCTTACTTGTCGACCAAGTGGCGGGTGTGTTTTTCTTGACGGACTTATTCGGCCGCAACCGTACGAGCGCGTCGCCGAGAACCCGTTTCTCCCTTCTTGGACGCGAACCGGTTTTGTTTGCGTTTTTTGCTCTTCTGTCAACACCAACCGCGCCCGAACGGATTGAGTGGATTCACCCTTTCTCCTTGCTTGTGTGTGCACCTCGACAGTACCAACGAGGACCACATTTTCGGTTGTCAGGTTGCGCGAGCAACACCAACCTAGCTGCGCTCGACAGGACCCCCCATGTGTGAAACGGAAAACGCTTTATTCTGCCCAACCGCCCACTGTGTGAGACTATTCGCTGCTGCTGTGTAAACACCCTGCACAGATTGCGCGGGCGATACAGCTGCGCGAGATTATCACGTCGCTGGGCCCCTTCTACATCAAGCTGGGGCAGGCGCTGTCGATCCGACCGGACATTCTGTCCCCCGGCGCGATGGTGGAGCTGCAGAGACTTTGCGACAAGGTCCCGTCGTTCGACAGCACCATCGCATTCTTGGTAAGTTCACTTTTGCTTGTAGATGTTGTTTATTGTTTGTTGTTGTCGTGTGGTGTGGTTGCAGATGTTTTTTTGATGTGATTGCTGATGTGTGTGTTTTTTTTGTGCGTCGTTCGACAGCACCATCGCGTTCTTGGTAAGTTCAGTGTTGCTTCTAGATGCTGCTTTTTGTTGTCGTTGTTGTTGTTGAGGTGTGGTTGTAGATTTTTTTTGATGTGGTTGTTCATGTGTTTTTGTTTTTGTGGACTGCCTCTTGAGGGTTTCTTCATCGATATCCCTTGCCTTAAAACCCCGGTACCCCCCACGAATTCCAAGAACAGACGTCCTCGCTAAGGCTTGTGCATTTTGGTCTTGTTGTGGTTGCTGTGTCTGGCGAACGTGCAGGCTGCCACAATCGCGGTTTCCCGGATCCAAGGGCATCTGCTGAACGCGAGTTATTCGCATGCTCTCCGTCGCTCCCGTCGTCCACCTCGTTTCAACGTTTGTCGGTCGCTCCGTTCTGTGTGGATTGCGTTCGATATTCCTCTCAACGCTTAAGAGCGTACTTTGCAAGGTTCACGTCCATCCCATTTCTTCGGCGCGGCGTTTGTTTTAGCGACGATTTTAGCCGACGCCGCTCGTCATATCATCCCGAGCAATACGACCACCGCTGCCGCCTTTTTTTTTTTTTTTGCAGACGATGGAGTTGGAATACGGGAGGCCAGTGGAGGAAATATTTGTGGATATCACACCGGAGCCTCTCGCGGCAGCCTCCCTCGGACAGGTACATGCCTTGCGTTACACACATAACACCCCCCGCCCCCCCAATGTGACTTCTGATTCAACAATTGTCGTCCAGGTGTATAGTTGTATGTGGCAGGTGTGACATCTTGTGTCGCCCTGTTCCTGGATCTGAGAGTAGTTGTGGAGGCTCACGCTAACCCACATTCCGTTATATTACTGTGGCTGTGTGTGGGGGGGGGGTGATCTTGTTGTCGCATGTGTGGGCCCCCCTAGCCCGTCTTGGTAGTACATACACCCAGGTAAGTGATCAAGTTCGTCGCTAGGTGATAAAAGTCATGGCTATGTGACCAAAGTCATCGGCAAGTGATCACAGTCACTTGTGAGTGATGGGAGCCATCGCTGTGTGATCGATGTCATCGCTTGTGATCAAAATCCTCGCTAAGTGACAAACGTCACAGCTACATGGGTGATCGAAGTCTCGCCAATAGATCAAAGTCACCGCTACCCGACCAGAGTCACGCGGTTTCCCTGTCGCTCGCATAAACACAACGAACGTGTGTAGCGTGTTGCTTGAACGAGCCGACGAAACTCGGGATGCACGTTGTCGGTCCCATTCTGATCCCAGGTCTACAACGGACTGACTGACTCTTCGTTCGGACGGAGAACATATCGTGATGTGATGCCCTGAAGATTATGGCTGGGTCGCCGTGTGTGCGGAACAGCCCTGCTATCTATCGATGACGTGTTTTTCTAGTATTTCGCAACAATCTCACCAACATGCACACGCCGCCTGCCCCCCCCCCCCGGGGGCTCCCCTCTGGAGGACTCGGGGCCAACGGGCTAACAACCAAAGCATGCCAAACTTGGGGACGCCCCCCCCCCCCCCCCCCCCCCCCTTTCCGGGGG